ATTCCAGACGAGAAGGCAATCGACTATTCTAGTCTACCAGCTGAATGAGTATATAACATGATTTTCATTGAAAGAAGTTAGTCAAAAGAAGATATCGCGGTCGGGTACTTTAAATGTGACGCTCGGATATATAAATTATTGTAAGATAAATTAATAGATATAAATAAACTTTAAATAAATTAAATTTGTAAGTGTTATAAATATTGAACCTTTAGTAGAATTAAAATAATGAAAACAATAAATTAGAATTAATAAAGACTCAACAGTTGTGTTCAGATGTGAATAAAAGTGTAAACATGGCTACGATTTACGAGCTTACAGTTACGAATTTAAGAAGGCATCTTGAAGACAGAGAATTAGCTTCTACCGGAAAAAAGGCTTATTTAGTCCAACGACTAAAAAACGCTTTAGAGAAGGAGGGTTTAGATCCGGAAACTTATATATTTGAAGATGCTGTCATCTCGTCGATTTCGAAAGTTTCCGGCGACATCGCTTCTTTAGAAAACAAAGTTTCTAACGAGATTTCTTCTCTATAAAGCAAAATTTCTGCTAACATCTCCTTGGAAATCTCTAAAGTCACTTCTGAGATGTCTGATCTCGACGATAGAGTGTCTTCGTTAAAAAACCAAGTTGCTGCCGATATGTTGGCCTTCGAAGAAAAGATGAAGGCAATGGAAAGGAAGATTGAGGAAACAGGGACAGCAGAGAAAGGAAACAATCCAATTACAGCGGAGACAAAAAAAGACGAGACGAAATGTAAGTTAGAAATACGGCCGAAATTTGAAGGAAGTGGAGGTTCTGTTCATGTCAAAGTCCCATAAAATTTTAAATTTCCACTTTAACACCCTGTATCTTTTTTAATATCAACATTCTATTAAAGCAAGTTGGCTTAGATCGTAATATTTTAAAGTGTAGAATCCAATTACTTAAGGACCACCCTGTATATATATATATATATATATATATATATAAATATATGAAAGTAAACTTTTCATTTCAATCGGAACTCCACCATTGCCCTAGACGTGTTTCAGGTTATTCAACCCATCATCAGGAGCACTTGTGGAAGTTCACGCAGGAACTGGGAAATGGTGGAGTTTCGATTGAAATGAAATGCAATCTTTTACTTTCATTTAAACGTCTTCCTCTACGTAAAGTGCGAAAAAGATGCATATCGAAGTAAAAGGGTACTTCTAGCGTCGTTAAAAGCCTTAATTGATGGTACGTAGTCAGTTATTGTAATAGGTACTGATATTAAGATATATATATATATATATATATATATATATATATATATATATATACTGTTATTACTATATATATTGTTTAGTATATTGCAGTACATATTACTTAAATGGTTGGTGTCTCTCTTATAATTGATAGATTCAGCAGTTTTATTAATGTGTGCCATTTCAAGGAAAAGTCGATTTTTATAACTATCAACTTGTTCCAAGATTTTTACATTATTAAAGTCAAAGTTATGTCCTGTCTTCAAGTGGTGGTCCACTAACTAAGGCACAAGAATTTTTTCGTATATTACAGTCACTTTTGTGTTAAGTGACACGTTGTTTAAGCTACTGTTGACTTTGACCAATATAACAACTTTGACATTGACTGCAATTTATTCTGTAAATTATATTAGTCATTAGTGAATTTGGAGTTTTAACTTTTACTTTTGAGAATAACCTTGAATTTAGAAGTGGATTGTATTTAATTAATTTAATGTTCGGAAATGTTATGAAAAGTGGGACAATTTGGTCTGTTAAATTTTTTATGTAAGGTATTTTTTTGTGTATGAAACTGGTTGTGGATTATTTATTAAAGCTCTATTGTAAAAGTGAGTGTTAAATAAGTTTTTTTAATATATGTTTTGGGTGCCGTTGTTTAAAAACATTTTAAAAAGTTTCTTTAACTTGGCGTCTATATTGTCATAATATTAGGCTTAACCAAATTTTTTGGGAATATTTAAAAAGGACTAAAAGAAAAATTTAGGATGGAATGTGTAATGTGAATGTATAAATCTAGCTTTGTTCGCTCTGTATATCCTTATGTTATATATTTATCTCCTAGCCGTTGCCTGTCTTGTGTGTTGTAATAAAGTCGCTATGAAAGGCACCTTAGCGTGAAAAGTATCCCTATATTATGTAATCCCTTGTTCGTTCCAAATATTCACTTTAAGTTGGTTAGGGCCTTAAATGGAACGAATGAAAGTATGGTTTCTTGTCAATCTACTGATTCTTGTGATACTAATGTTTACATTATATTTTTAATTTACCTATATGCGAAGTACTATTTTGTTAACAAATGCAATAGGTTAATACATCATTAACAAATTCAAGTAGTCAAATACATTATCGTGGCTGAATGGATCGAGTTATCCAAAAAGCCATTAATTAAATATATATATATATATATATATATATATATATATATATATATATAAAGTAAAATATTGCATTTCATTTCAATCGGAACTCCACCATTGCCCTAGACGTGTTTCGGATTATTCAACCCATCATCAGGAGCACTTGTGGAAGTTCCATCGAGCAAAAAGACAAAAGAGGGAATGTAAAGGTAGTGGGGGCAAAAATATTGTTAGACAGAAAGTGCGATCTTTAGAGGCCACATTAAACAAGGAAAGAGAGTATCTCTCCTTGTTTGACATCAAATTTAGTTGGGTTATGTTATTATTTGTCCCAAATGTCACATGAAATCTTATTTATATTGAAGTTTTTTAACAATTGTGTCGCATTTTAGACTATTACCGTTAATAATTAATTAAAACTTTCTCGTCTAAGACATATTCTGAAAAATATTATATAGCTACTATTAATAAGTGTCGGAAATTTTAAATTTGGCGCATTCGCATTTCCGGATATGTCCGCCATCAGAGGCCACTTTTTTGGTCTTCGTTTCATAAGGATTAGATTCCCTCTTTAGTCTTTTTGCTCGATGGGAAGTTCACACAGGAACTGGGCAATGCATATCGAAGTAAAAGAATACTTCTAGCGTTGTTAAAAGCCTCTAGCAAGAGGCTTTGAATTTGCGGTTCACCTAATTTGCTATCAGAGAGAGGTCTCTCGACTTCTTGTCACTTCGTATATATATATATATATATATATATATAAAATAACTACATTATAACACTGAAGATGAAGTTGTTGTATCTTCAACAGGCTTACCCTTGTGAGGATTGTATTATAAAATTAGCAAAATTACCTAACATTTAACATTATTAATTTGATTTTCTTTTTCTATCTGTTAAAACTTATTACTATGGTTTCCATGTCTCTTTTATATTTATTTTAGGTTAGTTCGACAGAGGAAGTGTCTATGTTTATGCAAACCTTAATTGCAAATTTTGATATAATATGTAAAAATGGTTTGTGCACTTATTAATATATATTTATATATATATATATATATATATATATATATATATATATATATATATATATATGGTGTAAACTTACAGTGTAAACGGTTCTCAAGTTGTTTTTCCATCTTGCAGCGACTACTAACATGACGTCACAATCTAAAATCTCCGCAGCTGTTGGTGGTGTAATAAAATTAGGTCCGATCATTCGTTTAATTATTCCTTGAAATGCATCAGAAACTAAAAAGTAAAGGTAAATTCATTAATAAGTACCTAAATTCTATAACAGGGGTCACCCATTATATTCCTCGAGGGTCCGTTTCGAAAACCTACAACACTTACGCGGTTCGGACACTCAGCACTAATTTACGTAGTTGAAACCAGGTAACTAGGCCATTTCGTTTAGGGAGGGGTATGAAATAAACTCAAGGAATAAGATGATTTGAAATATTTGCGTAATTTGAAATATTTGTATCTTAGAGCTTAATTTATTTATTTAATGCTACAGTTTCTGGTTGCTTACTTTCTGCAACTATAATGTCTTTCTTTACTGTGAAGGTTTAGATTTAAACTGCAACACAACACACTTTGATGAATAATACAATGATACGATATTTTTAGCCTTTACTACACCCAACCATCGCTGCAGCGCCGTCCGTAGTGATCGAAATACCTTTTTTAAATCCAAACTACAGTTCCCAAAATAATACACCACAGCCTTGTGTAAATCCCCTCCTGTAGTAGTTCCTGACATTGACAAAATAGTCAAAAGTTCTTCAAAAAAGTCTTCTCTGGTTCTGTCTTCTGTCCAGGTAGCGCACGAAAATGACAAGCTGAGCTGTATCTGTAATGACGCATGACTCATCCAATGCCAAAGCAAAATATTTAGTGACATCCAAGATTTGTTTTAACGTTTTGTATGTTTCATCGGCCAATACCTGTGTATTTCTTGTACTTGAAGTAGTAGATATTGGAATAAGCTAAATAGTAACTATTTCCAAATAATGAATTTACTGCTTCCAGAAAACACCCTTTAACGAAAGCCGTGTCACTAAATGGCTTTGTATGTTTGGCAAGCGTCCAGGACATGCGTAAAGAAGCCTCAGAAGGTTTTAGAAAAATTATTCTGAGGCTGAACTGAAAAAACTGGAAAAATCATTTTAGTTTTGATTATAGAGTGGTTACTAGGTACGTCACAAATATGCAAATTAAAATAATTTTAGTGTTCACACAGCTTCCCTATTGTATTTTGCTAAAAGAACATTTTTAGGTAGGTACTACCGGAAATTTTGGAAACCCTTTAGTCGAAACATATTGTTTAGATTACGAATATTTCTATACAGTATTATTATAGTACCGTACATTTTAAAAATGTAAAGATATTGATATATTCAGATTTGATTATAATTTTACAATATAATTTTATTACTATATTTGGAATTTAACGGCGGTCCGCAAAAAAAACCAGCTCAGGGTCCGGATGCGGACCGCGGTCCGCCATTTCATGACCCTGTTCTATAGCGATGTGTCTACGTTGTTCAGTGAATTTTTTACAGGATATTTAAATAGTCAAATAGATCACCACGTTATTAATTTTTCACCTTAAATAATAATCAATACTTACACTTTTTTAATTCACTCTCTTGACTTTCAGAAACGTCAGGTGCTACCTCTGTAGTACTAGGCGAACTCCAGCGAACTCCAGTCATCAACCTCGAGAATGTTAATCCTAACTCGAGGATGTCGCGTGCTGGTTTTACTTTGCTTTGGAAATTTCTGCTGCGTACATCATCTTTGCTTAACTTCATCTTTATTGACGTTGTGCTTTCAGGTTGCTATAAAATAAGTTAAAATTTTAAGTTGTTGATTACAGTACAATGCAATACACATCTGGATTTGACTTCAAAAAGTTTTGAAAATTAATTACACCTTAAAAACAATAAAAAAATTGAACTGCTGAAAGAACAGCACGATTGCAAAACAGGAAAATTTTATTTTTATTTTTTTTTATTGAACACAAATTTACAATCTAGTCCTTAAAATATATAAAAAAAAGTAAAGGTGTTAAGAGTTGTCGTCTCGTGGTGTAAACAATACTACAACAATACTAATTGGTTTTCATGATCCTATTTTTGCACTTTTCTCCTCGTGATCGAATTTCATCATTAATGCATAGGTTTTTTTTTAAATTCATCTATTACTAAGTTGGAGATGAACCAGGGTGCGTTTATCATGGTGCGTAGGGTTTTAAACTGTATTGTTTGGTATTGAGTGACTTGATGCATCTGCAGAGTTCAATACTATATGTTTAAATTAGCTTCAAAATTGCCTTATATCCAGTTATTTTTCTAGCAATTGATAATTGTGACTGTTTTGTGATAAGCCAATTCATTTGTCTAGTTTTTAAGACCTTGACGTGTGCTCTCCAAGTAAGTTTTTAGTCTTAGTGAAGTCCTAGATATTTTAGTTCTTTTATGGGAATCACTATATTGTTAAAGACCAATTAAAGATATTTGTTACGCCTTATGGTAAATAAAAGATGAGTAAAAGGTAATTTGAATAGACTTGCCGCTGTTAACATTTATTCGTCATATCTTAAACTATTCTTCTAATAAATTGAGGTGGTTCTGCAAGCCTTCACATTAACTAAGAGTATTGCGGTGTTATCTGTAAATGTTGTTACGATGTGACTTCTGTTTGAGGCTTACCTGGTTTAGGGATAAGAATAATTTGCGCAAATTTTTAATAAATGGAATAGTAACACTATTATAAAAGTGTTTTTTTGCATGTGAGTTTTTTTAAGCTTTCTTCTACAGTGATTTCACATCCTGGGGCTTTACGTGGGTCGATACATTTTATTTCTTCTCTTACTTCTCATGATTTGAGAAGTCTCATTGGTAAGTCCATCGGATAAGGACTATCTAAATAGAATTTTACTTCATCATCAATAACTTGCTACTAGCCGTTGGGTTGGGTTGGAGTGTTGGAGTGGAGCAAAAACATTTGTTAAGTGTTTAGCAATAATACATGCAAGAATTATTCGAAGATACAGAAAAGGACAGACTGAAATAGACAATCCCCACGGCCTAGAAATAACAAACAAAAAAGTAACTATGGCCATTAAGCGAATTAAAGATCAACAAGGCATAAAGTACATGGTAAAATTTTCAAGCTTTTAGAGGCACACCTTATCACAGCTCTTACGAAGCTATTCAATAACATATATGAGACTAGTTACTTACCAAAAGACTGGTTACTTTCAATATTCATTTCACTCCCCAAAAACCAACGCTAGGAAATGTAATATGAATGTAATATACTGAATGAAATTGTAATACTAGCAAAAGAACAACAAGGTTTTAGCTCGTGGAGATCATGCGCCGACGCAATATTTAAAGTGCAGCAAGGGTCAGAGAAATCATTCAAATACAACAAACTGGCATATCTATGTTTCGTAGACCTTAAGAAGGCATTTGACTGGGTCAAGTTAAAGGATGTTATCCACTTATTGTACGCAAGGAAGATGCCTTTAGGAATAATCAAAATGATTAAAAATATCTACCAAAGCAACACAATAAAAGCAAAAGAAGAAGAACCTTATTGAATCTGGCAATAGGATAAGACAGAGCTAATAAAGGATGCCAAATGAGACAAAAACACGGAAAAAATTTACTAAGATGTATATTGGAGCTGGAAGATCAGATAATAGAACAAGTGATGGCGTAAATATCTAGGCATCACATTATCTAGGTTTGGAAAGCTCGAAACAGAAGTGAAAGGTCAAGTGCCTAAATGGAACAATATGGAGAAATAAAAATATCAGGAAAGAAATGAAAGGTAGAATTTACAAAATAGTCATCAGATCAATAATGACATAAGCGGCAAAAACACAATCTGACACAGGGAGTACAAAAAGGATGTTAAAAATAGCAGAAATGAAAAACTTAGAAACATTGATGGTAAAACACTATGGAACAGAGCTAGAAGTACATATTTACGACGTAAATGCAACGATCATATAAGATAAATGACAACAACTAGAGGAGTAAAGACGGCAAAAAATGGTTTTCCAATAGGAAGACGATCAGTAAGAAGACCACGAAAATGATGGAACGACGATAAATAGAAATGTACCGAACATATTAATTTGTTTGATAAGACTTGTACTTAAAGTACTCCTTACTATCATTCACTTGCGCATATACACCAAATTAGATCTCCTAAGTGAAGTTTAATTTGGATTCAGAGCAGAATTCGGAACAAGGGAAGCACTTTTCAGTTTAATACAGAAAGCCAGCTTATATATCGCAGCTTAACTGCGATGTGTATACATGTTCCATTGATTTCAAAAAGGCATTCGACAAAGTACCACATGATAAATGAATTGAGATCTCAAGATCAAGACTAATCTCAACAGTGCAATCCGAAAATGAACTGTTCGAGATCTTCACAATTGGAAAAGGAGATATACAGAGTTATGCACTGTCACTAGCATTATTTAACATATACTCTGAAAATATCTTTAGAGAAGCCTTGGACGAATCAAAAGACGGTATTACAGTAAATGTCGAAACTATAAATAATATTAGATATTCAGACGATACCGTATTACTGGCAGATAGTGCGCAAGGGCTCCAAAGGATAATGGATAATGTTGTAAAAATATGTAACAAATCAGACCTAAAACTAAGTTGTAAAAAAACAAAAATAATAATCAAATTACAATAAACGATACACCGTTAGAAAGAGTGGAGAAAATATGCTATTGGGGCTGAAATATTAAGAATACCTGGGATCATAGCTACGAAATAAAAACTCGTATTGAAAAAGCCAGCTCTGTTAACGCCCTTTATTATTAGATCTAAACTTTTACAGAAGATGCCATAAAATGACTACAGACATTTGAAATGTGGTGCTATTTACATAGTTAGGGGTCTCATATATAAGTTCACCACACAATTACCATAACTGTTCTCTAGAGGCCTATTACTACTCTATAGCCTACTCTAACTGGTCTATTTCGAGCTGTTGTGAATATAATAAGATGTGGTCGCCAACATCACTAAGAGAAAGACACTTTTAGAAGAAGAAGGAGCCGAATTATTGTCAGATTTTTTCGAGTGTACGTGACCTCAATGCTCAGTTTTTATGTCCTTGGTCCTTTTGGATCTACCTGAAGGGTAGGTTATATTATTATATTATTATTTTATTACGGTTATACTATTCGGTATGACTGTCACAGGTCAACGTTTTACCTAATCATATGTTGGATAAAATTGATAAAAACATAGGCTTAGAAAAGAGTAAAATAATTTTGGAAGCATATGGATGATTCAAAATTGTTCCATTGGGTATTGTACATTTTAATTGTTTGTTCAAGAATATTATTCATAGCCTCAAATTTGTTATTGTAGAGGGAAATAAAAGCTCGCCAATATTGGGTCTTCCATCATGTTTAGATATAAAAATTTTACCCAGGGTTGATAGTATAACATATGAGAAAAAAGAGGATTTTGTTAAAAATAATATTGATGTGTTTTCAGGATTAGGTAAATTTAAAAAAAAAAATGTATCCTTCGCTGCCAGTTGCTAAACCACCACATAGGGTACCAATAGCTATTAGAAATAAATTAAAGGAAGTGCTAGATATTTTAACACTGAGAGGTGTGATTTCTCCATGTGAAGAGCCTATGGAGTGGTTGAGCAATTTGGTAATTGTTTAAGATTTTGTTTAGATCCAAAGTTTTTAAATTTGGCATTAGAAAAAGAATATTGTGTTACACCAACAACACTAGTTGAAATAAGAACACAATTAAAAAATCAATCAATTTTTAGTGTACTAGACTTTAAGGATGGATTTTATCAAGTAAGTAGAGTTAGAAAAAAAATCAAGTAAATTGTGTGCTTTTAGAACAATATTTGGAGCATATAAATTTAACAGATTGCCAATGGGTCTTAATTGTGCTCTAGAATTTTTTCAAAAATTAAATCAAGAAAATTTTGGTGATTTGCTAGGGTGCTTAGTTTCTTTGATGATTTGTTGGTTTTTAGGAAACACTGGAGCAACATGATATGAATTTAAAAAAAATCATTGATAGGGCAAGACAGCTAAATGTTAAATTTAATGAGAAAAAGATTCGATACAGGGTTAATGAGGTAAGATATTTGAGTAACATATTTGGCATAGAAGGAATGACACCTGATTATGATAAAATTTCAGCAATAAAAACTTAAAAGAACTATCAAATAAAAAATAACTTCAAAGTATTCTAGTAATGATAAATTATTTAAGGAGTTACATTCCTAATTTCTCTGGTATTTCGGCTCCATTAAGGGAACTTTAAAAAAACAATGTCATCTTCTTCTGGACAAAATTGCACTCCAATACATTAAATAAAATTAAAGAATTGGTTAGTTCACACTCTGTGCTAAAAAATTTTGATGAAACTCAGGAGATAGTAATTCAAATTATAGTCAAAATGGGCTAGGGTGCTGCTTGCTACAAAACCAAAAACCTGTTGCTTTTGCTTCAAGGTCTCTAACAGATAATGAAACACGGTTTAGCCAAATTGAATAGGAATATCTAGTCATTCTATGGGCTTGCAATCGATTTCATAATTATGTTTATGGACGTCATATTAAAATTGATTCTGATCATCGTCCATTAGAGGCGTTAATGAAAAAAGGAGTGTCTGAAGTTCATTCACCAAGATTACAAAGAATCAAGGTAAAGCTTTCAAAGTATGATATTGAGGTAAGATATAAGTCAAGAAAAGAAATGCATATTGCTGATTTACTGTCTAGAAACTTTCAGAATATTACAACTGAGGATGATGAGTTTATTACAGAAATAGTTCACTCAATTAACTTCACACAGGAGAAAAACAAGTTTTCATTGAAGAGACATTAAAGGATATTGTGTTACAAAAATTAACAAACTATTGCTTAAGGGGATGGCCTACAGATAATAGTAAAGTTCCGGAATCACTTAAAAGATATTATTCAATTAGACATGACATACATCTTGTTAGGTTCTTCAAATAATATTTGGAAATGTGTTAAAATACTTTATTTTATATTAGGCGTAATCTCAAAGACATGTTACAATTTACAATTATATAAGAAAAAAAAAAAGAGACATGACCATGACTTGACTTATCTAATAACAATTCAAATGACATGACAACCTTCTGTCATTCATGCCAACAGAACATTTCAAAGGTTTGCTCCTAAATTCCGTGTATTCTAACTCATCTATGTAATGATTTGCTGTTTTATAATGACAGAGTAATTGTACCTAATACATTACGCAAGAGATGCTCTCACTGTTGCATGAGAATCATTTTGGTGTTACTAAAACTCAAAATCGCGCAAAGCATATTTATATTGGCCTCAAATAAATGCTGATATTGAAAATTTTATTAAGGAATGTAAGACTTGTGAACAATTTAACAACAATAATGTCAAGGAACCATTAATTTTAAGAGATTTTCCTGAGCTTCCTTTCCAAACAGTAGCTAGCGATTTTTTTGACTATGGTGGTAAGTCTTATTTTGTTTTGATAAACTATTTTTCAACATGGTTGGAGGTAATTCCAATAGAGGACAAAACTGCGGTAGTAAAACGTTTAAAATTAATATTCTCACGGTTTGGAATCCCATTGGAGGTAGTTTCAGATAATATGCCTTATGATTCACTAACGTGTAAGAATTTTGCAAAAGACTGGAATTTTAAATTTTGCACCTCTAGTCCACATTACCTGCGGTCAAACAAGCTGGCAGAAAGGGCAGTGCAAACATCTAAAAATATGTTAAGAAAATATGAAGATTTGAACATAGCACTATTAGAATACAGAAACACACCAGTATCAGGAACAGATAAATCTCCTTCTCAGCTGTTACAAAGCAGAAGATTAAGAACAAAGCTTCCAATCAAAGAAGAACTTTGACCAGAGAACATTGACTATGATAATGAAAGAAATAAGTTAGAAGAAAAAAGAAAAGTATACAAGCAGTATTATACAAGCAGTATTATGGAGAGAAAATTAGAGACTTATCAACCAAGGGAACAGGCAGGATTCCGAAAAAGTTACGGAACAAATGACCATCTACAAAGTATAAAAACCCTAATAGAGAAAGCAGTGGAATACAACAAACCTCTAGTTCTAATATTTATCGATTTTCACAAAGCCTTTGACACAGTTGAGCTAAGCAAAATATTACAGGCGCTTAAAGAATGCAGGCTAGATTATAGATATACTAAATTATTATACAAAATATACCTGCAGGCAACTACCACTGTCAAATTACATACTAACAGTAATCGCATAAAAATAGAACGAAGGTTAGACAAGGAGAACCAATGTCACCTAAACTTTTTAATACGGTGCTAGAACATGCTTTTAAGAATTTGGATTGGATGACAAAGGGAATAAAAATAGATGGAGAATATCTAAACAACTTACGTTTCGCCGATGATATACTTATAATAGCTGAAGATCTAGGTATGGCAAGAGAGATGGTACAGGAACTCGTTGTGGCTACAGAAAATGTAGGTTTAAATATAAATATCTCGAAAACAAAAATCATGATCAATTTGGTGCCCCACCAGAACATCAGTATTGGTGGGAAAGAAATAGAACTCGTAGATAGATATAAATACCTGGGACATGAAATTATAATTGGCAGAGATAACCAGACTCATGAACTGAAGAGAAGAGTCGGCCTTGGGTGGGCAGCATTTGGAAAACTGAGAGAAACTTTTAAAGTGAGCTGCCCACATGCCTAAAGAGAAAGGTATTTGATCATCGCGTCCTCCCAGTCTTGACGTACGAAGCAGAAACACTTACCTTAACAAAAGCAGCAGCTACCAAACTGAGAGTCACGCAGAGAAGAATGGAGCGGTCCATGTTAGGAATAACTCTCCGAGACATAATATCAAACGAAGACATCAGGAGAAGAACCGGAGTGACTGACATCATCGAGAAGATAGCCAGACTAAAATGGAGATGGGCAGGACACATAGCCAGAATGACAGATGGGCGATGGACAAAGAGGTTATTGGAATGGAGGCCAAGGGAAGACAAGAGAAGCGTCGGTCGACCACCTACAAGATGGACTGACGATTTAAGAAGACTCAATAAAAACTGGATAAGAGCGGCGCAAGATAGACGGGGTTGGAAACATAAGGAAGAGGCCTATGTTCAGCAGTGGACTCTTGAGGCTGGATGATGAGTATTATGATCGAACAACATTGAGCAGAAATGAATTTCAGAATAATGAAAATGTATTAATGAGAGAGGGATCAACCTGGTCACCAGCCAGGATTATATCAAAGGTTGAAAAGTCCCCTAGATCTTACATAGTAGAAAAAGAAAATGGTAATATGGTACGAAGAAACAGTGTATATTTAAAACACTCAAGACATGAATGTCAACGAATATATGCTGGAGATGATATTCTGAATAACAATGACGCTGAAAAAGAAATAGACAGACATATAACTAACCTAATCAAATAATAAATGACTCTAAACATGATGATCAACAAGTAATTGATTTGGCTCCACGCATGAGTAATAGGGGAAGAGTGATTAAACAACCAATTAAATTTAAGGATTATGTATTCTAAAAAACAAAAATTAAAAAGAGGAAGATGTCATATATTTAGCTTTAAGTACTATTCTATTAGTTTTATGTTAGATGTCATATTAGTTTTAGTTTGATTTACTAAGACCTCAGCTTGGGGATTCGTTTTGTCGGTTAGACTAGACCCCTGGTATATACTTAAAAAAATCCGTAATCTGAGCGTACCTGCATAAAACAGTTAATATGTGAGGTAATTATGTACCGGGTGGTGAATCGCCGAACGGGCCATAGGAAATTCAATGGAAAATTCTAAATTGTTGAATTCCTGCTTCCCTAATTATTTTACATCAAAATCAGAAGAAACTATATGTAGAGGACTGAAATATGTATTAAAAACAAATGTTAAAATTGTTCTACAAATTAAATGTCTTCAAAAATTTTGTAAAAATATAATAGATTTTTCAGGCCACCCCTTAAAGTGACGCCACACGAGGTACAAGAATGTGTATAACATGTTGCGTTTGGTTATGATATTTGACAATATTTGAATTGTCAATATTTTTATTTTGTGATTAAATTATACACAAATACTAAAATACGCAAATTTTTACAAATGTAGTGTTGTTTACAAAGCAATAAAATTAATGAAATGTATTCAGTTCATATGAACGGAATTTATTCCCTTTCAAAATTTTTAACGCCGTAGAATTATGAATATTAAACTGGTCTGCATTGGCCCGAGAACTTATTTTAGGATTTTCTACAACTGCTGCATTACTACAAAGTCTATATTTATTTCATTTTGTTTTTCTAAATTTTTTTCTTACCTCAGCAATATTCTTTGTACAGGTACAATTAGACACGGTCCCATTAGTTACAAAATTTTGTAAAATCCTTTGAATTGTTGAATGACTTTAACTTGGTCTATTTGAATATCTTACGCTAAATAAAGAACTGACAATTCGCACACTATTGCCTGAATAAAACATTTTTATTATTGCTAGTTTCTCCTCAACTGTTTTTTTAATCAACTATATTGTTTTTTAAACAATATATCAGAAAGTTAAAATTTTGGAAATTCAAATATTGTCAAATATAAGAAACATAAATATGACCAAACGCAACATGTCATACACATTCTTGTACCTCGTGTGGCCTGAATTTAGGGGGTGGCCTGAAAAATGTATTATATTTTTACAAAATTTTGGAATACATTTAATTTGTAGAACAATTTTAATATTTGTTTTTAATACATATTTTAGTCCGCTACAAATAGTTTCTTATGACTTTTGATGTAAAATAATCAGGAAAGCAGGAATTCAACAATTCAGAATTTCCCATTGAATTTCCTATGGCCCGTTTGACGATTCACCACCCTGTATACCTCTACAACTTTTATTATTTTCTGTTGAGAATGTATTATCCCCTCACTATTTAATGCGGTAAGTCTGCTATAGATGAATAGTGAATAGTTGCAATAGAATAGTAGGCGATTTTAAACTCTTGAAGAAAGTGCAGTATCTCTCAAATCCTCTAAAATCCACGAAGCTACCTCAAACAGACCCAAACGCTTATAATTAAAAAAGTCAAAGTGATACTTGTAGATAGAGATACAAAACAATCAATCTAAATTAAAACTAATTGCAGAATACAAGAGTTAACTTAGACTCTATCGTAACAAGTAAGACGTTAAAAAACGAAATCATTAAATATATGATCGTAAAAACAAAAAAAGGGCTCGGACTAACTTCAAATGTTATGAAAATTACCAACAACAAAAAACTACATTTCTTGACGAAAATAACATTTACTACACTTAATTAGGTATATGCGCCAAAAGACATAGCTGCTGTTGTCAGATTTGCTTATACCAAGTTTTTTGGTAACTTACCTCATTCAAATCAATAATCGTTCCAAAATCTGTCAATTTAAAGTATGTGCCGTAAAGCATTATATTACTAGCTTTCACGTCTCGATGGACTAGTAATTTCTCATGCAGATATTTCAAGGCTTTGCACATATCGTATAAGCAATCCCACACAAGCGGTTCTTGTATAATATTTTTTTTCGAATAATCCATAAGGCTCATTTGGCAAGCCTCCATCTTCATATATACCTCCCCACACTCTTCCCACGCCATATAAAATTTAACGCAGTTTGGGTGGATCCCCACCTTCTCATTATTCTGAATTTCGGTATATTTGAAGTCCGAAGTTAAAGTCCTTCTAAATTCTTTTATAGCGTATTTTTTATTATTAAATTTATTGACCGCCTTACACACAATTCCAAAGCTGCCCTCGCCTACTTTTATAGGCGAGGTGTATATTTGCTGGTGATATGTTTCATGAAGTGCCGGATTGTAATTTACATCCAGGTCAACTAAAATAAAAAAACATATTTAGTTAATTTTATTAAATACTTACGTGTTAGATCAGTGTTTTCCAAACTGTGCATCTCAGCGCCCTGGTGCGTCGCTGCGTTGTCCCAGAAGCGTATTATAAATATATTTATTTGATTTTAAATAAGTATAAAATATATGTATAATAAATAAATCAAATAAAAAATATAACATCAAGTCGATAGACCCTTGAATTATCCGAAATTATTCAATCCGAAAACTATCCGATGATCCCCGAAATTATCCGAAAATCGGATAATTATCCGGACGTTAGCCAAACTGGAGTCGAGTGAGTTGCCATTTTGCATAGATTAGAGGAGGGATTTGGCATTTTGTTTCGCTTCGCCGGTCTGCTCCCCTCCCCCGTGATCCCTACTGTCGCGCATGTTATGTCATTTAGTCAAGGTTTTGTTTTGTTTAATTACTCACGCGGAGTTTTTTATTATCAACAATGAATATTTATATTTGAGCCGTTGAAAGTCAGAGTGGTACAAGTCACTCCGAGCATATTGTGAGATACAAAGCCTTAAAGTTTAGATGAAACTGAAAAATCCAGAGAAGTGTTATTATAATTTTTTTGTTAAATATAGTTTATAAACATGTTAACTTAGATATTGGTGTAAAATTAGCATTATAATTTTAATTTTTTCTTTTTGTTTTTTAATAATTTGTGATAGACCACTTTGCTTCTCAACAATAATAAAACTAATAAAAATAACTAGAGTTTAAAACAATATTTTATTAGCAAAAAAAATAAAATTATATGTTCTTCCTCTTCTAAGGGTCCAATATCTTCAATGGACGGGTCTTCCAAAATATTCTTAAAATATTCCTGTTGAAAGGGTGGTATGAACTGGAGTAGATCGACCATATCCTTTTTTTTTTATTGGCGCTAATTTTAAGTGGAGCAGGGTACAGTGGTGTAAGTTCCATATTTTTGATTAGTTTAGGGGCACCTTTTTTATTTTGTGGAAAAATGCTGATTGTTTCAAAACTGAAGTCTTCATTTAAAGTGGTCTTATAAAATATTTTGTATGGTTGATCTTTCTTAAAATGCAGCCACTGGATGTTCAACCAAGATACTGTACAATCATTTTCATTTTTCTTGCGGCGAGTTACGGAGTTTTCCACCGCTGCTATGGAAAGAATGTCTTCCTTTTTCATTTCGTACACCAAAAAAGGATTTTTTGTCCTATTTTTGGCATACTGTTCAATTTGACCGAAATCTCGATCATTTGGTAAAAAAAAATGGCCCGACACCATAAACTTATGATCTATTACTTCAATATCTGTATCTGCCATTAATTTTAACCAGAACAAACACTGCTTGAAGTTGCGGTTTTGACCGCCGCAAGCATCGTTGTAAGCAATAATATGCTTTGCTGCATTTGCATTTGTCATAATATGCTTTCGTATGCATGATCCGATTTCTTGTGATCCCCTGGAAGCAGTGATTTCATCCCAAACATACATAAGAGACTTTTCTTTTTCCGCCAACTCGTGTATCCCTAAATTGTATACGTACATGTTTTTTTTATACTACGCAATGGAACAGGTTAATGTCGGAAAAGGCAAAGCCTTTTCTAGGTCGAACGTAAAACAGTAAATTTTTCCTCTATTTACAATAGACAATTCCTTGTCATTAGCTTGACTAGTTCTTGCCTTTTCAGCCTTTAACAAATGCAACGCATGCTGAGTTTTTAGATCAGTCTTTTCCTGTTCATTAGTGACACACGCTGTTGAGCATTTTTCTTTATAAAGATTGTACATAATTCTTACATTCAGACTGGCATCGACGTATTTTCTATTCGGATTATGACTTCGGGTGTAATGGGACTGGTACATGGGGAAACTACCAATGTGTTCACGTACATATTGAACATGTTCTTCAGGAGTTTTATTTATTAGTTTATGCCTACCTCGTAAATCTTCTCCAGGAGATGAAACACGTGAACGTTGAATTGCTCTTTCAAGTCGACCATTAGAAATTTGAAACGTTTGCAAAAAGTACTGTTTACAAACATTTTGTGAAATACTTAAAGTATATATAAAATAAATATTTGTGTTACTTCTAATATTCATTCTACTTTGATCACGAGGACGTCGACGTTTAATGGCACTATGTTTAACTAAACCAGAAACAAATGCATTTTGTGCAGAAAAATCGCCCATTTTCCAAAAGTTTTCAAATACTGTTTTTCTCTCCTGTTCATCAATTCGGTTAAAACATTTTTTTCTGCAATTACAATTTGTATTTATTGCCACTTTCATGCTGACTCCGCGAACCTGATGCCTCATCAGACAAAATATTTTCTTTCTCATCTAAAATAATTTAGAGGTTAGGCATTTATTTTGTTAAGTAAACAATAACTATTTGTACCTGAAGACAATAATGATTTCGAATTGTCCAATCAGCCCGGTTCATATTCACTCCCACTACCAGGAAAAGGTTCTATTTCAGATTCATTGGAACTCATGTTTCAGATCTTGTCGCTTGTCGCTCTCAAAATAAACTGATTTTAAACGCGCTACTAAAAACAAGGATCTACAGACCGAGAATTTGGCATCCAAATTCCACGGCTTCGCGCAATCGTACTTGTAAGTTCGTATAGTCGGCTGGAGTTACAATTTGCCAAATTTAAATGTAATCGTTTCTACTCATTCATATTAATATTATAATGTATAATATCGTCTATATAGAGGTAAAACTCACTAAGTGACATTTTAGCTCAAAACCATGTTTGTATCAGTAAGTAACATTTAACATCTAAACTTTCGCGTGGTAAAACTCACTAGGCGCTACGTCTAATAATAAGGCAGTTATAGAATGGTAAAAAACATTCAGTGCACTTTGTCTAAATTTCGTTGGGAGGTAAAAGTCAGGTTGTACTTAATGATTTTTACCTCTATGGCAATACTTTTAATACGGGGTTTTGTAGTTTGACAGTTGCATACTTAATGAGAGTTTGAGGTTAGGTTTTAGTCTCTGTGGATGTGTGCAGTTGTTAGTAAAATTGTTAGAAGTATAATAATATAGTGTAAATATACGCTGTCTCTTTGAAAGTTTGTGCCAAATTAATAGCCAAAATGAAAAAAACTTTTACAGACAAACTTTTTGATTCATCAAAACCTTCTACGAGTTCTGAGGTATGTAATATCAAGTGACATAGTTTAAAATTACTTTAAAACAATTTAATTTTTATTTCAGAGATTTTCAAATCGTATTAAACGAGTGTTTGCCAGTTCCAGAACAACTAGGATGGTCGAAAGTGTATTACATAAAGAAAATGAAAAACCAATGACACTAACAAAAAATGTAAATATTTACTTCCTGCCTAGTGTTTAAACGTTTTTTTTTTTATAATAAGTTATGTGTGTATGTAGTTACTGAATTTTGTATTTAATTTCCAGAATGTGCAGTCATTTCAACAAACAAAAATCAATGAGTTATTTGGTCACATTGAGGATGAGAAGACTGTTCCAGATAAGGTAAAGAAATACAGATTACTTATTATATTTGTTATCCAAATAATTCGTCATAATTCATCCCAAAGTCATCATCACAAAAATCCAGTCCGATGTTGCATCCACTGCTGAACATAGGCCTCCATAAAATTACTCCATTGGATTATCATCATGCAAAGACTAATTAACTTTTGTATTTCAGGTGTCGAAAGAGGATGTTGTAATGGCAAGAGTAAAAAGACAACAACATACATTAAAAATCGTTCCGTATTCGTCAAGCAGTGACAGTGATTTTTCTTCTGATGACATAGATATGGACCCCTGTTTCAGACCACCAAATTCACCTCTTTCTCCGACACCAGATATCTCCGATTTATCAGACTCCGATGAAGCTACAGAAATTAATGCCAAAAAATGTACATTAACAAGAAGGCGAAAACGAAATGAAAAGAACTGGAAAGTAAACATTACTAAAGAGAAGCGTTCCAAATGTGAGCCATATTATAACAAATTTAAACAATGCAATGCAAAGGGTCCCAAATTTGTTGATTGTACAAATTGCAGATATAAATGCTCATTAAATTTTAATGAAGAGGATAGGAAGACATTGTGTCAATCATATTGGTCTTTCAATGATTTTAAGAGGCAAAAAGATTTTATAATAAAAAATGTTACACCGGTTAAGCCAAAACGTTTAAAAAATAATGTTATCAACAAAACGGTTTCAAGATTGTACTTCCTTGAAAGTCCCTTAGGACGGCACAGAGTATGTGCCAAGTTTTTTGAGAGAACTCTTTGCATTTCTAATGGTCCCATAAACACGGCCTTACAAGGAACCAATTCAGCAGGTTGTTTTTTCAGTGAAGATAAAAGGGGTCGCAAAATCCCAGCAAACGCTACTAATGAAGAGTCTATCCAACTGGTAAAAAACCATATAGAGTCATTCCCTGCTGTAGAGTCACATTATACAAGGGCCACCAGTCAAAGACTGTATTTAGACTCTAAATTATCAATTAAAAAAATGTACAATCTCTATCTCGAAAGTCTAGCTGAAAATCAAAAGCCAGTCAGCCATTGGAAATACAGGCAAATTTTTGGCAATGACTATAATTACTCTTTTTTCGTTCCTAAAAAGGATCAATGTGCAGCATGTAGTAAATATAACATGGCAGATGCAACAAAAAAACAAGATTTAGAACTAGAATATTCAATGCACATAATAAGAAAGAATGAATGCCATGAAGCAAAAAATACAGACAAAAAGTTATCTCAAAATGACAAGACATTTAAAACAGCAACATTCGACCTTCAAAGTGTATTGCAACTACCTCACTCCCCAGTATCCCCATTTTACTACTCTCGAAAATTGTGTGTATACAATTTAACCATTTATGAGGGAGATGGTGAGCACGCATCTTGCTACTGCTGGAATGAAGTTAATGGAAAGCGTGGTAGCAACGAAATTGGATCTATTCTGTTAAATTATATTACAAACTTACCCTCCACAGTTCTGAAAATATCGTTGTTTTCAGACACTTGTGGAGGTCAAAATAGAAACCAACAAGTAGCTGCTGCACTTCTCTATGCAGTGCATACTACGCACTTGGAATGCATAGAACAGAAATTTTTGGAGTCAGGACATAGTCATATGGAGTGCGACTCTATGCATTCGGCGATAGAGCATTCTAAAAAAAACCGAACAGCTTTTATCATGAACGATTGGCTGGAAATATTTAGGTTAGCACGGCAGAAAAGATTACAGAAGGAGCCGTATGCAGTACGAGAACTTAAATATACCGATTTCTATGATCTAAATAATTTGGCACGAACGATAATAAAAAATAGAACGAAAGATGAAGATGGCTGCACAGTATCCTGGCTAAAAATTAAATGCTTCAAATTTGTAAAAGAACATACCGATGTGATTTTTTTTAGATATGACCATTCATCGCCGTATAAAAAATTAATTATTTCTTGTGGTCCAGGAAGAAGGAGTAATCGGGATATTTCAGAAATAAGATTAAAATCTCTCTATAACGATTTACTCCCAATTTCAACTTTGAAGAAACGAGATCTAGTCAAACTTTGCAACGACAATCTCATACCAGATGAAGTTCATCATTATTATAAAAATCTACCAACAAGTACCTCTACAAATGAAAACCTACCAGAACCGAATTTTGATGAGGAATCAGAAGATTCAACATAAATTCATCCTTAAAATAAGTTTTTTGTTATATCTTGTTATGTTGTGTTCAATTATACAGGAATTTATTATAATTTGTAATAGTAAACGAAATATTAACATTTTTCATCACTTTCTATCTAGTTACTTTATCCCTAAGTACCAATCAGGAATATGATAGTTTGAGGTAAAATTCATTAAGTACATTTAGCTTAATAATTTTAAAATTATTGAGTTATGATCATTTCTTTTAAAACAGGATAGTAAAGTAACACCTAACCCCCATAAATAATATCACTTCTATCTATAATAATCATAAATAAAATTATAAAGTAAAAAACGAACAAAATGTTAAATATCTCTGTTGTATTTATTTTGCAGTTAGTGAGTTTTACTTCTATATAGACGATATATTAAAGTTTTTAATATTGGTAATATTATTAAAGCTTTTAATACTATTTTTTAATATTAATAATAATATTAAGTAATTAAATATTGCGCCTTACTTAAAAAAAGTACGAGATAAACTCGTTTTTTATATCTTTACGTATGCTAAGGGTAATAAATTAAAATCCTTCAATACAAGACTAAAGGTAGGTACCTATAATTTGAATAAGCTGGTTTTGCCCATACTGACTTTCTAATTCTAATTACCTACTAATTTGCATAACAGTCAGATATTGTACCTGGTCATAATGCTGTTTTAATATTAGGATTTTCATTTCGCTTATTGAAACTTCATCCGATATTAATTTCTTGGAAATTTTTATAAGGCTGAGAGTACTTAATCGGAATACTCGAGTATTGTTGAAAAAAACTGAAATTGAAGGTACTACACAATCGAAAAACTCAAAAAAATCAACATTTCCGGTATTCCACGGAATTTTTTTATTATTTTTCCACTTTTTTCAGGTTCTTTTTTAATTTAATTTCAGTATATAAAAGCCTTTACAATATTATCCAAATTTTATTTGGAAGTTAATCTTAAGTGTTCAGAAACAATTTGCTATTTAGGAAATGAAAATTTGTTTTTTTTCCTTAGTTCTTAATTTGCTATAACATTTCTCATTTGATTTAATAAAAAATATTGTAAATTCATTTTTTTGAATAATTATAACAACGACTTACATCCGAGTAGCTTAACACAATTAAAGAAAATATAACGAATACGCTCACGACTCGGAACTGAGTCTTTTCTTCTTTTCGCATAAAATATTACAAATTTATTTAAAATACCCTTTATTTAATATATACTTTATTTATTCATCACAATTTAAAAAAAATACTAGTCAGCACAGCGGTTGATTTCCATGAAAATACGCTAAGCAGTGATAATGATTGCATGTACCTAAGTTAATATTTTTGTCTTTTGGTTGGTGTTATATTGGAAATTTCCCCTCTCAAGGCATTTGCAAGAAACTTGCACTTTCATGTAAAAAACGAGTTATTTATCTCGTACTTTTTTTAAGCAAGGCGCAATATTTAATTACTTAATATTAATATTAATATTAAAAAATAGTATTAAAAGCTTTAATAATATTACCAATATTAAAAACTTTAATATATTATACATTATAATATTAATATGAATGAGTAGAAACGATTACATTTAAATTTGGCAAATTGTAACTCCAGCCGACTATACGAACTTACAAGTACGATTGCGCGAAGCCGTGGAATTTGTATACCAAATTCTCGGTCTGTAGATCCTTGTCTACTAAAATCTGTTAAATGTCACAGTGGTATAAGTCACGCGTCTTTGGACTTGTACCACTCTGCCTTTCAATGCTATTAGCATTTCGTTAAATAAGTAAACTAGTTGTGCCA